AATGTGAAAAATCGGTCCCCATGTTAACAGATAGGGATTTTGTTTTTCATGACTTTGCCTCTCCAAAAACTAATCACTTCTAAGTTGGGTCCTAGTCCAAACGTATACCAACTTTCGTCCAAATCCATTCAGCCGATTTCGAGAAATCTTGATGACAAATACACAAAGGGGTGAAAACATAACCTCCGTTTACCTTCGGTGGCGGAGGTAATAACCTTGTATTTTCAACTATAAGAGGAAGACTGGAAGACCATTATGTGTATTCTCAAACTCTGACGTCGGTACACAGCAGTGAGAGGGTACGATTTAACGCTATGAAAACGAATTCTTCATATTTCAGGAAGGTTTTTATGGCATTGACTTTTTGTTAAGAGAGACATTTGCAGATGACGAAAACACGTAAAGCCGCATTATGATGTCTTTCTGGAAAGAAGTATTTAGAGATATTTACAGAATTGTGATTTCTCAGAATCCGTGAATACAGTATTCACCAAAGAAGTATGCAAATATATCTTTGTCATAAAGATTATCATTATTGTCACACATTCTCCAAGCGAACAATAAAATGTGTTTGTCAGATTTGCCGATAAAATAACAATAAATCAAATGGACAGAGAAGAACGTTTCATCGTATAGAATGGGCTGAACTAATTTCATATAAAGGGCAAAATTAAAACTAATTTTCTGCTAACTTGTGTAACAATCTCTCCATATTAAATACACTTATATTTACCAAATTTTTGAAGATGATAAATAGTATAAAATCTATGTTCAATAAAACAGGGGTATTTTTTACGCAGTTTACAGGAGTAATTCACTAAAGAAACGAGGGGATAGCAGTTTTGCATATTATTTGACTGTTTGTGTGTAGTTATGCACAAAGCTACACAATGGGCTATCTGTGCTCTGCCTACCACGGGTATCGAAACCCGGTTTCTAGCGTTGTAAGTCCGCAGATATACCGCTGTGCCACTGGGGGGCGTTATGCTGTAACCTTATCAGCGGATATTCGAATACACGTACTTCACGTTTAAATGCTTTATGTAAAGATC